AGACAGACACTCAGACGCTATTTAACATTCCAGCTTCTGGCCACGAGGGGAGCTGTCGCTTCACCGTCCATTTGTGACACTGATGAAGAACTTCCTCATTCTTTGCATGCTTGCTTGAGATTTTTATAGCGTCGTAAATTAGCCTCTCCACATAAGCGGTACCTAAATTTCCTACTTGATAGATGCAACTGTCTTTTGGGCTGCAAAGGTCGACAGCAAGCTACACAAATTGGTCGGAAGCTTACTCCGACTCGAGCTGGCTTTGAACTCATGACCTTCTGGTCAGTAGTCATTTTAATGCAGCTGACTTTCAGCCAGCTGTGCCACAGTCCCAGTGGTTTTTTAACTTGTGTGACGATTTCCTCTAAATTAAAAGAAGTATAAAGGAGTTTTCCGCAAAGTAGCAACACACTGATTTACCACATTGATACTACCTTCTAATGGGGGAAACTAGTAAGTGTTAAGCAACTGCTCTTTTCCATAAAGTTAGCCCCATTATTTTAATACAGCCTCATGAAAGGAAGAACTAATGACTTTACAACATTAAGATAAACTCATTTGACTAACAGATAAATTGCAGAGTAATAGCAAAGTATCATGAGTTCTCATTAAAGTTGGAGGGAGGAAGAATCCAGATAGCATCAAATGGCTTTGGGTCATTTTGAAAAGAATTACATTAACTTCATCACAAATCATTTTAAAATACCCCTGAATTTCAAGGAAACCACAGTTCCTAAGGGGAGCAGGAAAGGGTTGTCTGCTGGCATTATTCATGTAATTCTCTGGATTGTAGCCAGGACCTGTGAACAATTTTGGATCTAGGAACTGTTTTAATTGCATACAGATATATCTCAGTTTCTGAAACAGATGCGATTTTGGGTTTTACTTCTTAATCCAGGACCTCCCATGAATACCAAAATTCATGGATGTTCAAGTCCCATTATATACAGTGGCATAGGAAAATGGTGTCTCTTACATAAAATGGTAAGATCAAGGTTTGCTTCCCCCCCTCTCCTTGGGGGGGGGGGTTCAAGCCATGTATATATAATCCATGGATACAGAGCACAAACTGAATAAATAAGATAGATAGCTAGATTATGATGGAGGCAGTTTCTCTTAACCTTGCCTGATGTAGGCTGCTGTACACAGTCGGAAGACTGGCTATAACAGAATCCAGTTCTTCCTTCCTCAAGTTTTGTTGGAGTCTGTGTTTCTTTAGCCCTCTTTCACCATTCTCCTCATGCCAATGATGCTTTTAAAAAAAACCTCCAGCTAGACAGAAGATAAGGAAGAAAAAGGGACTGGGAGAGCTTAAAACAACTTTGTAAACAAGATATTATTTTTCAGATTATCCTTAATATAGATATGCCTATACTTAATAAACTTCATTTATATCCTGCCACCATTTCCCAAAAGGGGCTCTGGGTGGCTTACAAGGCACTACAAATGTAGTATATAATATAAACCAGGGGTCCTCAAACTTTTTAAACAGAGGGCCAGGTCACAGTCCCTCAAACTGTTGGAGGGCTGGATTATAATTTGGGGAAAAAATTGAATGAATTCCTATGCACACTGCACATATCTTATTTGTAGTGCAAAAAACACTTAAAAACAATAAATAATTAAAATGAAGAACAATTTTAACAAATATAAACTTGTTAGTATTTCAACGGGAAGTGTAGGCCTGCTTTTGGCCAATGAGATAGGACTGTTGTTGTTGTTGTTGTTATTGTTGTTGTGTGCTTTCAAGTCATTTCAGACTTAGGGTGACCCCGAGCGAGGGCCAGGTAAATGACCTTGGAGGGCCATATCTGGCCCTCGGGCCTTAGTTTGAGGACCCCTGGTATAAACGGTACATGAGCATAAAAGCAATATCACATAAATCTTATAAAAACAACCACTATCAACAAATAAAATAAAATAAAAACAGTTTAAAATGCTGACCATTTGTAGTTAAAACTAGCTGCCTTCAATTCACGACTAAAGTGCCAAAGTGTCAATCTCATATGGGGCCATTTCAGCCTACTTGAGGACAAAAGCCTGCTTAAAAATCCATGTTTTTAGGCTGGGTCGGAAAGAGTTAAGGGTGGGGGCTAAATAATCTCTTTTGGGAGGGTATTCCAGAGTTGGGAAGTCACTACAGAGGAAGCCCTCTTTCTCATTCCCATCAATTGCGCTTGAGACAGTGGCGAAACCAAGAGAAGGGCTTCCCCTGCCGATCTCAAAGCCCGTGCCGATTCAAAGAACGAGATGTGATCTCAAAGATAGGTTGGACATGAAGCGTATAAGGCTTTGTAGGTGATAACCTTCACCTTGAATTGTGGCCAGAAAATTGTCGGAAGTCACTGAAGCTGCTTGAGGAGGGGCATAGTATGTTCCCTATAGCTAGCTCCAGTTAGTAGTCCGGCAGCCAACCTTTGTACTAAGTGCAGTTTCCAAGCCGTCTTCAAAGGCAGCCCCATGTAGAGTACATTACAGAAGTCTATTCTGGATGTAACTAAGACATGGACCACCATGGCCAAGTCAACCTTTTTGAGGTACGGTCGCAGATGGTACACAAGTATAAACTGTGCAAAGGACCGACACCTGAGCTTCAAGTGTCAACGATGAATCCAGAAAGACACCTAAACTGCAAACCTGTGTCCTTGGGGGAGTGGAACCCCATCGAGCACAGTTGCTACCCTATACCCCAATTGCGACTGTCCAGGAGGACTTCTGTCTTGATTGGATTAAGTCTCCGTTGTTGGCCCTCATCCAGTTCATCATAGCTGCCATACACTGATCCAGAGAGCTTTCTTAGATTGGGTGGAAAAGAGTAGCAGAGTTGTGTATCATCTTGCATAGAGATGGCACTTGTTACTTGTTACTATGCTACATTTGTTTTGCTTTCAGAATAAATACTACATCTTGGGTCAGCTGTACTGTCTTAATTCCTTGCTCATGTGATGCTGTAGTGATACAAAGGATTATCGTATACATCGTGGAGTCATGGGGAACAAGGGACACATGTTAGTCATGGGGAAAGTGAATTAGCTCAGGCTTCCCTTTGATAACAAGTACTGGGTCAAATTATATCACCATCAAAAAATTATCCTGAAGATATTATCATGTCAGTATCTGGGTGTGGCCATTGAAATTCTACTCAATTCAATCAGAGAACAGCATAACCTAACCTATCTGCAATTTTTTTAAAACTCTTAAGACTATAATGTTATAGTGGAAAGAGCAGAATGTTCCTTGTATGAACATAAGCATATGTGAACATCTGCTTCTCCCTAAATTCCTATTCCTTCCAATATGGTATTCAATGCAAGGAACTCAGCCTCATTGTAGCCATTGTGGCTGCATATTCATTAATATCTCAAGAGTGTCAAATCTTTAAGCCCAATTATTTATTTACTAGCCGTCCCCTGTCACGCGTTGCTGTGGCCCAGTCTGTGTATATGTGTTTTGTGTGTATATATATGTGTGTGTTTGTGTATATGTGTGGTTTTGCGCATGCGTCGTAATGCATTTTTTTTTGTTTTTTGGCTTTATAAGTCCCTTCTACTGTGTTTTTCAGTGTTTTTATGAATGATGGTCACTTGTTGGACTGATAGGTGTATCGTGCCCAAATTTGGTCTCAATTCGTCCATTGGTTTTTGGGTTATGTTAATCCCACAAACGAACATTACATTTTTATTTATATAGATTATTTGGGGGGGGGGGGTTCCGTGTCAGCAGTGACTTGAGAAACTGCAAGTTGCTTCTGGTGTGAGAGAATTGGCCGTCTGCAAGGATGTTGCCCTGGGGATGCCTGGATGTTTTGATGTTTTGCCATCCTTTGTTGGAGGCTTTCCTCATGTCCCCACATGGGGAGCCGGAGCTGACAGAGGGAGCTCATCTGCGCTCTCTTTGGATTTGAACCTGTGACCTGTCAGTCTTCAGTCCTGCCGGCACAAGGGTTTAACTCACTGCGCTACCAGGGTCTCCTTATTTTTATTTGTCACCCTTCTCAATCCCGAATGGGACTTAGGACAGTTCAGTGTTGGCAACAATTCAATGCCACCGATAAAAAACAGCATATAATCTCAAAATTGACCATCTCCTGATAAAACATTAAACATTATTAAAGGCATCACATAAAATAATAAAGGTGCTTTCTCTTTATTATATCTCCTGTTACAAGGTTCTCTAATATCGAAAGGAAAAAGGAAGAACAAACAGAACACGAGGGATATGCTTTCTCTTTCATGAGCCAATCTGCAAATAAAAAGCCCCAAAGAAAAATCTCTTTCCAGAATTGCTTAACATCACCTAAATTACTTAGTGGAAAAATGGGTTCAACAGACCTAAAATGGAAGGCCATTTAAGGTGCTGGCCCACGCTTATTCCAACACTTATGCTGCATTTGAAGATGCTAAAAATACTGTGTTCCCTTGCTATTCCATATAAACAATTGTGACATTTGCCATAATCCTATTATACAGTGAGTCATCAAGGAACCCTTAAACATACAACATGGTCCTAGGGAAGTTAAATACATAAGTATTAAAGAAGGCTTGACTAAGCCAATTTAGAGAGAAAGGGAGGGAGAGAAGGGGAGAGAACACTCTGATAATGAACAGAGTTATACAGAGGAAGCTCTCTGAAACAAAAGAGGCAAACAATGTTTGCCCATGAAACCATTTAAACACTGAAGACTGAAACCAGCTTGCATTTGAGGTTACCTGCTCATTAGAGTATCTAAAGTGCCCTATGCTCAGCAACTGTGACAGCAAATTCTACTATAAAACATGGTATACTTTGAAGTATTTACATTCAACCAATTTTAAATAAGTTCTTAGCCTGATTTAATTTAACAACCCTTCAGAGGTACCACTTCTAAGCATTCATAGGCTGCCAAATTATATTAAATACATGCAATGATTACTTTAATGTTTAATTGAGAACATTATATATTTTTCCAGACGGCCACATTTGCTTGAGTATACAGAAGACACGCCATCAGACAGACTTACCATTACCATATCTGAGAACGTTATTTCCTTGCTTCTTTCACACTTTGAATGAAAACTTTCCCATCTGTATACAGAATGCAAATAGACTTCACAATCTCTTCCCTCCCATCCGGTTTTATTTCTTTGCAAACGGAAAGAGCTGCATTAAAAAGTCTCACAGAAAGCAGTTACGACACAACACAGGCTGTAAATTATACATACCTAAATAAAGCTTTTAAATAAATAAAACATTCGAGCCAAAACTCACAGCTTTTTTCCTCCAGCTGTAATTCTCCGTGTACTATGTACAAAGCTACGTCAGCAGCTTTCAAGAGAAGGAGGAGGAGTAAGACCATACAGGGAAATCCAGTTCATCTGGAGAAAGCCTGTGACTTATGTGGGTGGAACTATGTCCCGTTAGAGAGAACTTTCAGCCTACTGCGATTCTCAAAAGCGAAATGTATTTCACTGCAGTTTGCACAGAGAAGAGAGTGAGAATGGGTGTGTCAACAGAATGTAGATTTCATGGTATGTTGGGTGTGGTAGCGTTCGGCTGTGTTCCGTTTCCCAAAGTGTAAGGATTAAATACAAGTCCTTTTACTCCAGAAAACGGGAGTTTGTTTCATGAGACTTTATAAACAAGATACGGAAACTTGGAATTTGATAACTCGGGTTTACTTTACGTCAGTAAAACTATTTGGCACTTTAAAATCTGTTTCGATTTCTGCCCACAAAATGTTTGCAGATGCTTAAATTACAACCTGCCCTACCATAACACATTAAACAGTCACTATAAAAATATTTGTTTGGCTTTACAAGCAAATCTAATACGCTTTTTAAAGCTATTAAATGGTGTTTGTCACAACAGTTCTTTACAATAGGAAAATCCACCTCCAAATTACTGTCAACAACATCTAAAGTTTTTTTTAAAAGTTCGTATGTCAAAGAGATTTCTTTGTTGAATATATGACAACAATGGTGTTTAGTACATTGACCTTTTAAGCCCAAGAACCCATAACAAAGACACAGGTCAAGCGTGGTAACCGAATCGCAACCTGAGTTTACCAACTGTGTGAACTCTTACAGCTCCGTTGATACTAATACGGAGTGGCACTAAGAACTACTGCAACTGCAGTTTTTAAAAGTAAGTAAGCCTTTTTGATTACATATTTATTTTCATTTCCTTACCATCACTGACAGGAGAGTGCCTCCAGTCTTAGAAATGTTCTCCAACTTAACACCGCAGGTATAAACACAACTATTAATAACTACTATTGTGCTGGTCAGATAAATATTCCTAGCAGAAGATGCCACAATTGGGACTATACCAATAGTGTAATGCCTACTGTCAAAATATTGTGGCTTATGAGATTTAGCTGACAAATTAAGGAGGTGGGTAAAGGTAAAAGTAACAAGCAGTAGAACAAAATACACATGCCATAATTTCATTTTTGAATAGGACAAGGAGGTAAAAAACACATAGAGTTGGTGGAAATCAGAGCATTTACCAACCAGGTACCATCTAGATATTTTGGACTTGCCAAAACAAGGAAAAGATGTCCAAAACACCCAGCAAGAAAAATTAGTATCTAAAAATCTGGAGATGGGATGCACAATAATAATAATAAACTTTATTTGTACCCCGCCACCATCTCCCCCAACAGGGACTCGGGGCGGCTTACATGAGGCCAAGCCCAAACAACAAATTACAATAAAATAAAATACAAATTACAATAAAATAAAAAACATCACATTAAAGTACAAAACATATAAGCATAATAAACAATATACACAAAACATAAAAAAGCAGTAAACCGAACATAATGACAGTGAGCGGGCCGCATGTACATAACATGATTTTTTAAAAAATCTACCCAAAATCATACAGTTTCAGACTGCAGTGGCTCGACAACAATTGCCCAGGGAAAGTGCACAAAAGAAAGTCCTTAATGTGGATCAGTATGCTGTCACTTGTGTAATCCCCATTCGGGCCTCAAACCAGTACCAGGATTTCCTATGTAATCATTTTTCCTCAATACCAGTTTGAAACTGAGTTCAGTGGTATGTGTAGATGTGTCCAAAGTTTCTCCCACACTGTGAGAATTTTCCCCCCTTTTTCCATAAGTCTTTTAGATCTATTTTGTATGCTCCCTTGATCTGTGCAGCAGATTGCACACAGTTATGTAAGGAAAGACTGTATTCCATAGAAGATAGGTTTGTTCCGGTGCTGAAAGTTATCTCTTGCTTACAGCTCCTAGTATGGAACCCCCGGTGGCACAACAGGTTAAACCCTTGTGCGGGTAGGACTGCAGACCGCAAGGTTGGAGGTTCGAATCCAGGAAGTGGGATGAGCTCCTGTCTGTCAGCTCCAGCTTCTCTTGCAGGGACATGAGATAAGCCTCCCACGGGATGGTAAAACATCCTGGCAGCCCTTGGGCAATATCCTTGCAGGTGGTCAATTATTTCACACCAGAAGCAACTTGCAATTTCTCAAGTCGCTCCTGACATTAAAAAAACAACTCTTAGTATAAGTGGGAAAAAAATCAAAAACAAGATTTTCAAGTTTTGCAATATAGTGCTATCCATGTCTAAACCACAGTACGTGCTTGGAATTCAATGAAACCTATTCCTGGATAAACGTTTGCAGGACTATAGTCTAACATTTCAATTCTAAGAATATTTACTCAGATGTAAATCCCTCTGGGTTCACTGTGCGGCTTACTTCCAAATAAATGTACACAGGATTGGAAACATAATTGAAATACAGAAATCTCCATATGGTATTGTTTAATAAACCGATGAAAAACTACTATACATGTCATCAAAAAGAAGAAAAATTAATAAAATTAGTGAAAATTAATTCCTGAATCAAGACAGAAATGTGACAATAAGACATTTTTTTCTTGACAAATGTAACATTCCTCAAAATATGGCAACAAATGATAATTCAGGACCGAACAGGAAGGAAAAGTAATTTATTCTGCCTCAATGACGCTTTTCCATAAAAATTATGTCATCTGCATGACCAATGTAAAGTATACACATACAACTGCCAAGCCAAAGCTCAAAAGATCAGTCACACAAAAGAGTTATCTCCTCTCAAAGGATTATACTCCAAGAAGGGAGAAAGAACTGCCTAACGCTACAGATTATAGAAACTCCCATGCTTTTTCCAAACCTCAAAAGCACAAAGTACACATTGTAATCTTATCTCATTCCAGATAAAGATCCCAGTGCTGGTTGCTTATGCATCATAGGACAATCAGATAACCGTAATGTAGCTTTTCCTGATTTCCATGAGCCATCAGATCAAGATTCTTTATATGACAAGTATTTCATTTTCAAATTACGTCTTCTCCCAGTTCAGATGCAATGATAAGCAACAGTTTCAAAGAAGCCCAGCATATCAGGACTAAGTAGCGGACATGCTGTCTGATCACTTCCACTCAACTATTCCTAATGGAGCTTCCGTCTAGGTTACTAACTGGAGCTAGCCATAGGAAGCATACCATGCCCCTATTGAAGCAGCTCCACTGTCTGCCAATAAGTTTCCGGGCTCAATTCAAAGTGCAGGTTCTTACCTATAAAGATCTACATGGATTGGGTCCAGCCTATCTTCATAATTGTATCTCCCTTTATGAACCGGTGCGGGCTCTAAGATCTGATGGGGAGGCTCTCCTCTCGGTCCTGTCTCCATCTCAAGCACAGTTAGTGGGAACGAGGGAGATGGCCTTCTTAGTGGTGCCCCCTCCCCCCGGAATGACTTCCCCAAGGAACTTAGGCAAGCCCCCACACTACAGCACTTTCAGAAAGAACTGAAAACAAGAAGCCTTTGATAATGCCTAAGATAGGAGCCAGACTATTATTTAGCAAGGAAGGCTAAATCGATTGAACGGATTTTAATCAATGACTATTGCCATATTTTATTCTTGTCAATGTTAGATGACTGATTTTAAATATATTGTTGTATTTTTAATGTTGATATACTGTATTTTATATGTAGTGCAGCATCATTGGGTGCTATTTGTAAGCCGCCCCAAGTCCCTATGGGAGATGGTGGCGGAGTATAAGTAAAAGTTTATTATTATTTATTTGATATGACATTCAAAGTGGAAACTCTGCCTTGCCACAGAGTTGTAAGATTTTTTTTAAAAAAAACCCTATTGAGAATGTTTCCTTTAAAAACAATATGAAATATGTACATAAGGTAAACAGAAAAGAAAAAAAAAAGAAAAAACCAAAAGGACAATACAAAACACAATTATATTAACTAGGTGCAGGCAAAGAAAGGAACTAGGAAAAAGAGAAGAAGATAAGAGGAAAAAAGAAAAAGAAAATGGAAAATAGAAGAAATAAAAAAAGAATAGCTTGTTGACTTCCTGAGTGCCGTACGAGTGGGTTCTTCCTTTTCTTTTGTTTTATTCTTACATCTTTCATTTTTTATATTCTCCTCTCCGTATTTTGTGTGTGTGTGTGTATACACACACACATATACATACATACACACACACACACACACATATATATAGAGAGAGGGGGGGGGGAGAGAGAGAGACATTCTATTACTTTTGGCCTGGTCTCTTTTATAGGGGTCCCTTTATTTTTGGATATTAGGTATGTCAGAAATATTTTTACTTGGTATAACTGACTAGGCCCTAGACTACAACACCAACAAACATTTGGTTCGCAAAAGTATGAAAAAAAGAAGAGATACCAGACAAAGAAGAATGGATGGAGAAAACAGCTGATATTAGAAATATGGACAGATTGACATACTTGATATTCCCAAAAACCCTAAATCTTGACGCTAAAATCCAGGGATCGAATCTCTTTCTTCACAAGTAGCAATGTTTCATATGAAGGCAGCTGAAGGAAACTCCATGTTATGCTTGAAGTCACTAAGATGCCTGGTATGATTTCAGCCAGTTTAAAAATCCAAAACAATACTTCCTGGAGAGTTCTTGGGTAAAAAAACGGCTAGCAAACTCTTTCTCTTTATTGCTCTAATTACTTTGGAAGTAGTTGCATAGCCTGGAATGGCAGTGGGAGAAGGGGGAAATATGTGGGCATTCAGGCACACAGTTCTCCTTCCTCATTGCGCAAAAGAAGTAAAAGGAGACTCAAGCTGATATGACACTTATGTCACTTCATGTGACCAGTGATGAAATGCATTAGTGCAGCTCTATATGTTTGAAGGGGAGGGGGTGTGATTCTGCCTGTCACAGTGTAAATGCATGGGAAAGGTGTCAGAGTGCAAGAATTTTTGTACTCTGGCAGAAACTGATGCTATCAACATTCTTGTTTTAACAAAATACCTCCTTGCAAGAAAAATCCATTTCACATGCTTTTAGCAAACACAACTCAACCTACGGATCCACTGATATATATATATTTTAAAACAAGACTATGACTGAAATTTCACTTCCCAAAAGGAAATTCAAACTGGATAG